TTTGTTATTTCTGAACTACTGCTGATTAAATAATAAATGTGCTTCATTGTCTCTGATACAGCCACCCTTCTCTGAAAGGTTAGTGTTAATAGTCTGGCTCAATGTCCTGCCCACCGCATGATCAGAATGGTTGCACATCATGGGCAATAGCCAATAGTCAATCAACACTGCATGCTAGGGAGAGACATGGGGAATAAGGAATGCAGAGAGAGACAGATGAATCATTGTTTTAATGATGCTCTTCTGTATGATTTGGTAGCCTGTATAGTTGATGCATTATTTTCATGACAGTGGTTATGGTTTAATCTCCATATTACTGAAATATTTTACATGAAAACTGAGACAGACTAGAATTCTTGTTATCTCAGTGTGCTGTATATAAATCAACTGTTCAGACTTCAGGCTAGGCCTCTCCCTGTCAAACTAAAGAAATTCAAAGCATGAATCAAGGAAAGCAGGGGGAGAGGGAAGTTCAGAACAATTCACTTTTCAGCAGCTGCCTTGATCTTGTCTAGTTGCCACTGACTACATTTGCATGACATCAACGCAAGTCAGAGACATAACCACCATGCACTGTGAAGCAATCAACAGTGATTGATTGTGCGCAGGTCTGGCTCAGGCCCGGCTTAAAATGAGCCACCCTCCTTTGTACCAAGTTAGTGTGTTTTTCGTGAAGTCACAGCAATCTAAAGAGGTTTTTCAATTACAGGAACCTACCGAAACGTGTCACGCCGAGTAATGCTTGTCCTGAGTTCTGTGTTTGTTTCTACTATGGTGTGCCTGCTTTGGATGTGTGTTCTAGGAGCTAAATTTCAGCACCCCTGAGGAGGCAGTACTAAAATCAAGTACCAGGAACATGAGGGGGAAGGGGGTGTGTGTGTGCACAGAGCAGTCACTGGTGATTGGTTAAATATCTGCATCTCCACACCTCAAGCATTAGCATTACAAACACCATGTATAAACACACAGCTGCCTGCATGTGTTAGGGGAGCAGCCCCTACTTCCTCTAAACAGCGAGAAAATACAGTGGAAAAACAAAGAAGGATGGTCCTCGTCAGTCCCGGAGGCTATGCTTGGTGATGGTTAAGGGAAGTACGGGGTATACTGCTTGTTAGGTTCTGATAGTGGAAACACAGCATAAGAAAGAAACAGGAGCCATCTGACAGAGGAGCATGTATAACAAATGTACTTTCTGCACCACAACTGGGTGCTGTTGCACTGGGAGTACTGAAGGATTACTGCAGACAGGGACTTATAGTCAAAGCAGACTGGATTGTATTACACTAGTGATAGTAAATTACATACTGTAGCTGTAACTGTTTTTATCAATTTAAGATATCAGTTTAGTTTATAAGAAATGCTGCTATGAGTTCCCTGCATTATACATTTATAAGGATGAAATATTCTGTTTCCCTGTAGTAGCATATGGCTAAAAAGCATTCAAAGAGCATTTAGCATTGGATTATGTGATAGTATGACACAAAAATTGACATTTTAACTGAAAATGTATATGACTATAATATCAATTATTGATCTCTTTGATTACTTATGATTGATCAGAATTCATCAGAACTGGACCTGAAAAAGCTATATCGATTAACCCCTATTATGAATCAGAGTACAAACACTTAAGGAGGTTAGTGTTTCATTATGAGTCATGAGATCAGCTAAACATTTCCAATAATCTTCTGGTTATTGGTTTAGCTTCCAGCTGCCAGACTCAGCTGATTGTCACAGTCATTGGCTTTGTAAAGCCAAGAGAACAAAACAAAAAAGAAGAGTGTTTGTATTTAGAGAATACTTGTTAGCATGACCTTTTGAAAACCACTGCATCTCTCTAGCCCTCTGTTTGTTTGTCTCCCTGAGCATGAGCATCCCAATTGTACACCTCTCCCCCCCCCCTCTCTCACTCCTCATCCCTGTCTCTCTTTCATGCAGGTTCTCAGTGCAGGACCATCAGCTGTCCTGAGACCTCTCTCTCCTGTGGCTGTCAGTGCCTGTTCAGAAACCTGGATCTGGATCCTCGTCCTTCAGGAGTCCTGGCCACTTCTTGTCCTTCTCTCCCTCCCTTTGTTCATTTCCTGTTTATTTCTTCATTTCCCTTTATCCTTTGTCTCCCCGCTGAGTGTTCGTTTCCTTCATTTCCTCTATATGCATGAATGACGAGCTTGGCTTTGCCTCTTGTGTCTGTCATTTTAGTAGAAGTGAGGTCATGTACATGTTATTCAGACTGTCCCTACTGTAAATCTGTTATGGTGATTAGTTCTGTACATGACATCTACTGCATGTCTGCTTATCCCAAAAGAGGAATCCTTCCTCTGTTGCTCTTCCTGAGATTTCTTCCACTTGTTCCTGTTCAAGGTTTTTGGGGGGGCGTTTTCTCTTTATCTGATTTGAGGATCTAAAGACAAAGCGTGTTGCTGTCCAGAGTTCCTTGTGATATTAAACTCCTACTCCTCCACTTCTGACTGGTCCCATTAGGGGTCGCCACAGCGAATCATCTGTTTTCACACTGATGACGTGCCTAAATTTGGCACGTTTTTACACGGGATGCCCTTCCTGATGCAACCCTCTCTATTTATCTGGAATTGGGACCAGCACAGAAGTCACTAAATTTATGATATTAAACTATAAATATAAAACCTGACTTGACTTGACAGCCTATGATTTTAATAAGCAAAATCTAATATTTGGCTATGCCAGTGCATCTATGACACAGTCATAAAACCTTTCAATAAAACATAAGTATTATGCTAAACTTAAAGTTGACATTTGATATAATTAATGCATCCAAAGAACAACCCAACACAATGGTCATGGCTGCTGTGCAGGGTGCTGTTACTTATCTCATGCATTTGAGAAATACACGACTATCAGCTCACAATTAGTTACACACTCTTAGGCACCCTTAAAATGTGCAGAGCTAGAATACAGTAAAATAAAGGTTATGGTTGAGCACCATAACCTTTTAGAAGCTTTATTTACCGTCATTGTAACATGTACAATGAAATTTTGTTTGGAGCCAAGGGGCCACAGGCCGCTGTGTGCATACGTGCTGCCATCACGGGGCAAGTTGGGGGGTTCGGTGTCTTGCCCAAGGACACTTCAACATGTGACCTGCAGGCACTGAGATTCGAACACTCATGATTCTGTCCTCCGTCACTCTTTTTATATGCTGGTCATCCTGTGTTAATGTCGGAGATATTTAATAATAATAATTAATTAACCATTATGTGTGAGTAATGCTGCTTGCAGCTGTGTGTCAGTAACTGGCTGTGTTTCTGTTGTGTGTCACTGGCTGTTAATCGCAGATGGTTATTGTGAGCTGACCTCTACAGGGGTGTAGGAGCAGGGGGAGGGCAGGTGTGTAGTGCAATGAGCACTTCATTTAAATATGAATCTCTGGCAGCTGCTGTGCTGTTTTTGTCCACCGCTGTGCTCTCTCTTTCTCTCACTCTCTCTCTTGTGGCGTATATTTCAGGCAGGAAATGAAATTTGGGCATAAAGATGAAAAGAACCTAACATTGCTAGCTAGTACAGAATATATTTTGAACAGGTACAGAGAAGATATGGTTTAGCAGCATGAGCCAAGGCTAAATGGCTGATGTCAGCTTAACTGCGATCCCACTTCATTCCTTCGTTTCGTTTTTTTGAGGACTGTGGGGTGCAAGAGTGAGGGGAGGGGTGCCAATGGAGATGGCAATTCACAGATTAGATCGTATGGTGATAATGTTTGTGGTTGATCTCATTACAGGTGTGCTCAAATGTCCGACCTAAAGCAATAATGCCATAATGCCAGAAATGAAATACAGTAGATCACAACATTAAGATAACTGGCAACTGAAAAATGAAACAGTGCAGCAGTGATGATATTTGTCTGTTACAGCCTCCCATCAGCAGAGTGATCACACACACTGTTACAGCTCTTTCATGTCTCATATTGTGACGCACTGCATTTCGCACCTTGCAGGTCCATGGACAAAGCCTACAAATCATTACACCATCAGAAAATGAAGACATACTGTAGATTACATGAATAACTATTAAAATGACCTGCATGGTAAATACACTTAAGCAATAAGCAATAAATATAACAACTATCAGCTGAGTCATTGTGCCGCCTCGCACTGAGCTCCACCTTCAACAGAGCCGGCTCATCGAGACATGTGATCGGTTGAAATGTTGCGCCGAGAGAACATCATGACATTCAGTAGCGGTTACTTTTTATTTTATTTGTAATCTCATTTCAGCAAGATCTGATTTAAATTCCCCAAAGTAAGGTATTAAAAACGCACTGAGTTCATATTATTGCTGAGTCAATTAAACACTAGTTTAACACATTTATGCATTGTCTTTAGATCATTCAAAATTCAGCCGCTAGATTAAGCATGCAAACAGGATGCTCAGACCATGTTACTCCTCTTTTGAAGAAGTTACATTGGTCACCAATTAGGAATAATGTGAAATTCAAGATTTTATTATTAACATTTAAAGCTTTACCCAGTCTTGCTCCTCTGTACATCACTTAATTGGTCAAACCCTATGTACTGTACCTACCTACCTACCTACCTACCTGTGTCTATTCTTTGAGATCTGTATCAACTGGACTGTTGCACGTGCTGAGTTTTAAATTAAGTACAATGGGTGTTATAGCTTTTTCAAATGTTGCACCTAGATTTTGGAACAATCTCCCCATTGTGATTCATCAGTGTACTATTGTAAGAATGCAACTAAAACATATCTTTTTAAGCAAGCTTATAAAATGCTGATTATGTCATGAAATTACTGCTGTCATTGTGTCATGTAGTGCTATTTGTGGGTATTGTATTTATAATTTTTATTTTATTCTGTTATATTGATTGCCTTGTTTTGTAAGGTGACTTGGTTTTTTGAAAGGCGTCCTTTAAATAAAATGTATGATTATTATTATTAGTTTATCAGCACCCTTCACATCTTTAAATAGGCACCACAACCAGGAATATAGCGGCAGTTCCACCTACATTCTCACTGTTGTGGTCAGCCTCGCTGGGACAACCAAACAGCTCTCGCCGCAGCAGGTTTCCATCGTACTCCAGAAAGGTTAGATAGAGATTCCGAAAAAACTCCACATGCTTGTTCTTCACTCGCAGCTTCTTGGGAGAGTTCCAGTGTATTACCTATTCAGCAAAAGCACAGACAGTAGAATGGTGAAAAAGGTTAACGGGGTACTTTTCTTATTGTCATGCTCAGATAGGGGTTTTTTTACATTATAGGGACCTTTTAGTATTACAAGCAAGGTGTGTACAGAGGCGCTTACATTGGTTTAAGGGTAAAACCATTATGGACCAGTGTCTGGTCCTGGGCTTTGAGCAACTGTAACCCAAAGTCTTGTTCTTTAATCTTTACTGATTCTTTGAAGGAAAACATTTCAAACCTTTAACACTGGAAACACTGTATGGTCAGAATCTGTATTTGTTGAAAAACCATTATTTCCTCTAAATTTAATCATGATTAATTTTACAAATATCTACCTACATGACCAATCCCCCACATCTCCGCGTCACGCTTCTTTCAGTGTAGATGTCGTTCAATAATTACTCTCACAGTGCTTGCACCTCAACCGCCACATATATTTCAGTTTAACCTCAGCTGCTACTCACACAATTCAGACTCATGTTTAAAACACTCCTTTCCAATGTTTCCACTGTAGTTTTTCAGCAGAAGGGAGCAGAGTTTTCTTCAGCAAATTTAACCAGCTGTATTTTATGTATTTTAAGGACCCCTTGGTAACCAAAGCGGTTCATGTCAAAAGACTTTAGCTTTAAATAGAGCTGGGCAGTCACACTTCATCCAATCCATAGAGCACTTTTAATGTAGAACGGGGCAAAGTTTTTAATTTGATTACCAAATAATATTTGGTAGTTTTTATAGTAGTTATATGATGAATTTAAGGGTAATGGTGTTGTCCAGTAATCTTTAGTGCAGGGAAACAAACTAAAAGATAGAAAACTGCATCATACAGTATGTGGGTGTTTGACGGTCCACTTATCAACAGGCTGAGCCTGAAAAGCACTGAATCTGAATTTGTCAGAATATCTTGTCTTTCCTGGTGTCTGGGCTACTTTATTTTTGTTTACCTTTGCAGGTCTGTGAATATCATGCTTAAAGCAGTAAGAATTTATTATGTTTTTAGCTGTTTGTTTGGTCTTACTGTGTGTCATGTCTGCCTGAGCAGATGTGAGAGCAACATCCAATCCATCCAATCATCAATCCATAACTTAGCTTTAATATTTTCATATCAAATATTGTTAAAGTATCTTTAATTATGCTTGCTGCAGTGAGTTTAACTGAGCTATAACACAGATAAAACCATTACAAAAACATTATTCATACTGGAGCTTTACGGTTGATAAAGGCCTGAATAAAAGCAGACAGAAAGCTGTCTGTTCAGAAGCCACTGCTACTTTAGGTTTTAGAGAAACAGTTGAAATGGGAAGAAATGCTATTAGATGACTGGGGACAGAGCTTAATCCAACAATATGTTTGAGGTTCTACATTCTGTATGTCCATACATGTGTTGTATGTATTCATGCTGTATCATTGTCCACCTACTGGGAAGAACAGCTTTTCACATTTCCGGAAGCCTAGAAAACACTGAATGTCTTTTCAAGGTGAACGAAAAGGATACAAGGCTTTCTAAACCTTTAAGGTAGAACCAAATAAACATCAGTGTGGGGCTGGTTTGAAGCTCAGCCTTATGCAGGTATGTCTGAAGTGACTGAGTGTCTCCAGGGTCTCACCTTGAGGTCTGAAACATCTTTGTAACACTTCTCAGAACGGGTGTGGTCAGACAGCTGGACGTTCCAGAAGCAGGGCAGCTGGTGAACCAGGAAGGGGTTCTGTTTGATAACAGCATTAAAGATGTCCTACACACACACACACACACACACACACACACACACACACACACAGAGTGAGCCTTATGCTTTGTTGTATGTTTCATCATTTGCAGGCTGCCCAACAGTTTGAAACCCTGCTACTTGTTTATTTGAAGATACATAATGCTATATGTAATAATATTATGCCCTTATTGTATAGAAAGACACTGGAGGGTCAAAACTGACCTATAACTATGTACTAATATGATGCATCTTGAACGTACAAAGAGAACAACAGTGGAAATTTTGAATTGTTGAGACATTACTGTCCACCTTTTACTTTTTTCTCTCATTAATTGGTTAAAATTGAATGAAAATGTGAAAGCAGACAAATGAATCAGGTGCCAATATTAACACTGTTGGGCACATTAAGGCAAACAGTTGGAGGAGGTGATGCATTAAAAATACCAAACTAAAAGTGTTAAAGATGGCAAAATGATATGAGGTAAGTTTCTAAACATACTGAACAAAGAGCAATGAAGTATGGGGTGGGAAATTAGTTCAACGTTTGCCAGACCTTAAAGGAAAATTTAGGTTTTATTACAGTGTGGGTCTTATTTTTGTACACTGGTCATCATAGTGCAAACACACAAAGCACTTTTACTGAGGATCCATACAGTATATGGTTTATGAAGACATTAAAATACCTTTTGATACATAAATAACTTTCTCATCACCACTAGCAGGAGGAATCACCAGTCCATTGATGGCTTCATTTTACATAATATAATATGAAAAATATTCAATTTAACAGCTCTGGCTCTTCCTTTGTCTTGTCAGTGTGTTGGATGTCTTTAGATGTTCAGGCTTTAATTTTTAAATTGTGTGTAATCACACTTGTAAAGCTGAATACGTCAAATAGCTCTGAGGAAACGTACTTTGATTACATGAGAGAGACGTTTTAGACTGAGATCTTAGAGGGTTCACAAGACAAGAGTCTCGATGACAGAATCCGGCTTCCTAATGGGAGACATAAAAACTCTATATTCACATAATGAATGCTAAGATAAAGATGGCTGACAGTCCACTGGAACAGCTCATACAGCAGAAAGCAGATGGAACAGCGAAACAATTTCCAAAGCCCTTTTCATTTTCCAAACTGCATACCTTGTGGGACTTTACTTGATGAAGGTTTAATTAAAATCTCATAAATGTAGTTCTCATCTAGATGAGCTCTGAATAGCCCCAAGATAACACAAAGACCCTTTGCTAAGGTCTCAGTGTATGCCCTTACTATGTTAGATAAGAAAAACTGCACAGGATAAGAGAGCCCTTTTTATGACCGTCAGGATACCAAAAAGAGAGGAAGAACACACACCTTGTTCAGATATTTTGTGTGTTTGAATGAACGTTGCCCTGGGTATTTTGTAAAACACCAAAGAACACATCTGCCAGCAGCAGCAGACTGTATTTCAGTTCAACAGCATTACATGCAGTATTTCTTCTGAGCTAAACCAGGATTTCCAGTGTTTATTGGTGCCGCTCAGCCATGTGCCTCTTCCTCTACCACTTTTCTCTGCTGTACCTGAAAATAGCTGCTAGTAAAATAAAACATTATTTCAGTGCAACACACACTGCCTGCATTGTAAAGCATCATGATATACAGCTGCAGTTACAGTAAATTCCTAATGTTGCACATGTTGATATACTGAAAAAGTGAAAGAAATTGTGTAAGGTATGCAAGAAAGTGAAAAATCTCTAACTACGTCTGCTTTCTTACCTCCACCTCCGCACAGTGAACCAGTCTCAGTATGAAGTGGGTGTAAATGTCACATTGTCGGTTTCAGAAAGTTACAGAAATGGTGGAACATAGTCCCCTGATTTGTGATGTTGGAAAGGTTTGGGTGGAGGAGGTTTCCAAAGATATTAGATCATAATGACAAGCAGTGGTGGAAGAAGTACTCAGAACCTTTTACTTAATAAAAGTAGCAATACAACTGTGTACAAATATTCAATTACAAGTAAAAGTCCTGCATTCAAAATGTTACTTAACTAAAAGTACCTAAGTGTTAGCATCAAAACATACAGTGGCAAGAAAAAGTATGTGAACCTTTTGGAATTTCATGGTTTTCTGCATTCATTTGTCATAAAATGTGATCTGATCTTCATCTAAGTCAAGAGTACTGACAAATATAATGTGCCTAATATAACAACACAAAAAAAATTCTGATCTTTCATGTCTTTATTGAGAACAACCATAAAAACCTCTAGTGGAAAAAGTATGTGAACCCTTGAGTTAATGACCTCAAAAAGCTAATTAGAGTCAGGTCTTAGCATACCTAGAGTCTTGTTAAGAAAATGAGTTTGGAGGTGTGGACTAGAGCTACTTTGACAGATAAAAACCACTCAAACCTTTTGAGTTTGCTCAACACAAGAAGAATATGTTTATGTGAGCCATGCCTCGCTAAAAAGAGCTTTCAGAAGATCTATGATCAAGAATTGTTGATTTACATAAAGGTGGGAAAGGGTTAAAAAGTGATTTCAAAGTCTTTAAAAATTCACCAGTCTACAGTTAGGCAAACAATCTGCAAATGGAGACACTTTGGGACTGTGGCTACTCTACCAAGAAGTGGGCGCCCAGTCAAAACGACCCCAAGAGCACAACGAAGACTCATCTATGATGTAAAGAAACAACCTTGAGTGACAGCCAAAGATTTGAAGGCACCATTGGACCTGGATAACATCTATGTTCATGAGTCTACAGTACGTAAAACATAGAACAAGCAGGGTATCTATGGCAGGACACCATGAAGGAAGCTGCTGCACGCCTGAAGTTTGTGAAAGAGCACATTGACACTCCACAGCAGTATTGGCAAAATGTTTTGTGGGACTGATGAAACTAGGATTAAACTATTTGGAAAGAACACACAGCACTACATCTGGCGTAAACAGGGCACTGCATATCATCATGAAAACATCATCCCAACCATAAAGTATGGTGGAGCAAACATCATGATTTGGGCCTGTTTTGCTGCATCAGGGCCTGGTCAGCTTGCAATCATTGAGGGGAAGATGAATTCCCAAGTCTATCAAAAATTTCTTCAGGATAATGTGAGAATGTCTGTACGTCAGCTGAAACTCTGTAGAAGTTAAAGAATGGGCTAAAATTCTTCCTGAATGATGTGCAGGTCTGATCCACAGCTACAGGAAGTGCCTGGTTGAGGTTATTGCTGCCAAGGGGGGTCAACCAGTTATTAATTCCAGGGGTTCACTTACTTTGTTCACTACCATTTTGAATGTTGAATGAGTGTCTTCAATAAAGACATGAAAGATCTGAATTTTTTTGTTATTTTAGCCACATTATATTCGTCAGCACCCTTGACTTAGATGACGATCAGATCACATTTTATGACAAATTAATGCAGAAAACCATGAAATTCCAAAAGATTCACATACTTTTTCTTGCCACTGTACTTCACGTACTAAAAGTAAAAGTAGTCGTTGTGCAGAATGGCACATGTCACATTCCTGTATCTCATATTATTGTATTATAATTACTGATGCATTATTATGTACATTTAATGTTGCGGCTGGTAAAGAGGGAGCTGGTTTTAATTGGCTTATATGCATTAATTTGAATTACTGCTTGGCAGATTGTAAATTTTCCACCATAGATCAATGAGGTCTGATAATTATACTGCATTTCTTTATATTAATCTGGCTATGAAGAGTAATTAGAGTTACAAAATAAATGTAGTGGAGTAAAAAGTACAATATTTGCCTCTAAAATGTAGTGAAATCAAAGTATGAAGTAACAGTAAATGAAAACAGGCAGGTAAAATACAGATACCTCAAAGCTGTACTTAAGTACAGTACTTGAGCAAATGTACTTAGTTACTTTCCACCACTGATGACAAGCACTTCTGAAGAAGCATATTGGCAAATTAAGCTTTAGCATAACCACGAACCTTCTCTAACGTTTAGTTGCCAAATTCCAACCATATATTATCCATTATTCATTTGCCTAAACATGATCTTTCTATTAATATAGCCATATTATAGTTTTCATGTGTAGAAAAGACGGGTGGTGCCAAATACAAATACAACATCTGGAAAAGCGCAAATAGTGTTTTTTTAGATATACTTATTTTGTACAAATATTTCTTAGCATGAATTATTTTTGAAAAGAAAAATGTCAAATAGCTGGTGTTACTCGGAAGCACAGGGGGTATTAATGCTCCACCTGCTTGTGCTGACTGACAAGACAACAGGAGTGTGGAGGGGAGAGAGAGCACAGAATGAAAAGAAGAAACACAGACTGATTAAAATATAGGCATTGGGCAAAACACTGTTGCACCAGTATTATGTTTTGACGAGTTATTTTTAACCTTAACTGGTTTGCAGAGGTGGTTTATTATAATGTTACCTATCTTTTGTTTTCCTGTTGGACCTTTAATATGTGAGCCGGAGTTTGTTTGACCAGAACAGCCTACATTAGCTCTGGCAGTGTAGTTTACTTATACACTGCGCTCACTGCTCAGTCAGCCTGTGTCACATGGTGAAAGAAATCCCAGTGGAGTAACACAGCCCAACTTTTGCTGTTCTAGCAAAGTTGCTGTTCCACTATTTCTATGTAGAAGACGGATGCAGCAGAGTTAGCTTGGCCGAGAGGAAATTAGGCTAGTGTTCGCCTGTTAGTGCCCTAAATTAGCCTTATATTAACACTTTAACATCATAAAATTAGAAGTGTAATAAGAACAAAAACAGCATCGTTACACCTATTTCCACTTTCATTTGAATACAAATACAAATAATTTTGCTGCCTCAGCAAATACAGATTCAAATATTGGGCTCTTGTCTGGCGATAGCGCTGAGAGCACACACTGGGCACACCATAGAGACAGAAGAACTCAAAGTATCGTAACAGGCATGTGCTGATCCTGGGAAGAAATGTGATCTTTACATAGAAAAATATCTACACAGCTACTCTGAGAAAAAATAAGCAGGATGCACTTTGCTTCACAATGCGTCATGTTCAAATGCCAGTATCCCTGGAGCAAACAAAGCTAAAGTTAGCTCACTTCACAGCTCAATTAATATAAAAAGGCAATGCTAAACACTCACTATGTTTCAAAGTGCTTGTAGGAAACTAAACCTTTCAGTCAGGTTAGACCTTTTTCAGTGCAGATAATTTGATTTGTCATAGCTGGAAAAGCACTGGTGGAACTAATATGATTAATGATGGCTCGGCTCCATCCAGTCAGCCATGACAGTGTGCCAACATGCACAACTCCAGGCCGTAGAACTCACTTGGCTAAACGGAATACACACACATTTTAATGTGTCGATTACACCTTTGCTTCTCCTGCTGTAACAAGGCAAAATGTCTGCTGTGAAAATGGACTGCTGAATTTGGGTCTGACAGGTTTTCTAATTTTCCAAAACTGACTCCGTGATATCCGCATCACAAAGATTCACCAGCTGTGTTGTCAGCTTTTTCTCTCAAGTTCTTGTTTTTCCATTCTTCACTAGTTCTGTTTAATGTCAGCAACTAGAGCAACGCTATGAATACCTTCAAGGACAGACTGAAAGTATGCACTACTATGCCCATTTGTATTCGCACTGTCATCACACTGAAACAGAAAACTTTGTCCAAAGGTGACTAATTTTTATGTTTGAGGTATGAGGATGTGTGTTACCTGGTCTGCCAGGGAAGTGGACAGCATGCTCATTAGTTCCCTCTCTGCAGTCAACCGCCACATCTGCTCCCATCTGAGCTTCCGTAGCCGATCCAGGAGAAGCAAAATCACCCCTGGAAAGCACACACATATGCAAACAGAGATATAGTAGCTTAAAAACAGATAGATTAGTATCTTGCTGTCAGGTAAATGTGATAAAGTCCCATCACAGGGCTCTGAATGTGTTTTTGGAGATAAAGCCACTGTAAAGACTTTAAGATTAAAGACATACTTGCACTGGCAGAACACATGTTAAAATCCTCCTGGAAACACTGATTATTCTTAGAAGCATACAGTGCCTGCCTCTTTTTTCTTCTAGATTTCCCCCCTCCCCAACAAACAGGAAAAATCAAAAACGGAAACTTCCTCTCAGTTCCATGGCTAATAAAAGAAATCTTCCTGGCTGCTACAAACACAATCAAGCAGCCAATTTTCAGAGGGAGAGACATGGTGAATAATCTTTTCAGATCAGAACAAACAAACTGTTTTTTCATATACCGCTGTGCTCCATCTGTTGCCATGGCCGTTGCCATGGCCATTGCAAAAGATCTGACCTACTGCAACGAAACTGGAGGTTTTCTGTCAAATTGCCATTCTGTGTAAATGCAACACATCTTTATTTTTCCATTTCATCCAACAGTAGATACCATAGCAACACACATGCCCATTTTGTTCCTGAGATGTGCTTTTCAGTCACACTATAGGGAAGTTTAAGAGTAGAACACTGAACCTTTACAACACAGACG